GGTGAAACTCCGACGAAACAGTTTGTCACAGCCCCTCGTTTGTTGTCCTCTTCTCTCTCTCTGCCTACGGTTTTACCGGGCAGTTCTGTTTGTGACGATATATATATGTATATAACCCTATGATCAGCAGTGTGTAGATACAAGAGGTCGTTCAAGTTCGACTTCATTTGTTTTTAAACTTTTTATGTTTGACATTTATCAAAAAAAAAAAAAAAAAAGGTTTGGCATTTAGGGGCTGACACTCCCTGGGCGTGTAAATCCCCCAAGGAAAATTTTGTTCCACCTATCCTTGGGGATGAAAATGAAAAAAAAATAAAAAAAGTGAAAACATTTCCTCAGGGAATCCTCGGGGCGTCCTCGGGCTACAGCCATTTGGTGGCGTTCCCCAAGGAACCTCCCGAGGTCCCTTGGAGGTCAAGGATCCGCGGTAATCGGAGCGGCGAGGGCACCCATTGTCAGCATGAATTTTTTGTCGGCTGGTCCATTGGAGTTCCTACCAGGCAGCTTGCGTCTTTAACGTTCGGCTTCCAGGATTTTTTCATTTTATTTTATTTTTTCCGAACTTGAGTCGCGGATATCACTTATAAGAACAGCCTCCCTAAGTGGGTCCCCAGTTGAAGGCTCCATCTATTGGTCGGGAGCTGCACCTGCTGGAAACCGGGTCCAGCGTCCCTCATATTACAGGACATATCAATGACTGACAAATGTTTGGACAACAAACATATGCTGGTAGGAACCTTACGCCAACGGTAACCGTTGGTGGCCGGCCGCCCCCCATGGGTGTCATCGAGGGGTTGAACGGCCGGCAAATTTGAATACTTCCGCTGTCGTCGTTTGCTGGACTCCGAGGTGTACCGTCGTTGTCTAGCTATTGCCCTTCCCCACGTGCCTCTCATGGCGGACATCTTTCGAAGGTTGTCGCTGCTGCTTTTGGTCATCCATAAAGTTTTGCTTGTCCTTGTCGTCTTCTTCTGCGTCTGCATCCTCGGCAGGGTGTCTGGACGTACACGTAAGAGGCGGTCTGAGAAGAAGGACATCAGCATGGACGAGCGGCAGGCGAAGAGCAGGTCTTCAGTGGACCACTTTAGAAGCCACTGCCCAGGCCACGGCCCGGCTCACAGTGGACGGGTGTACGACCCGTTAGAGTGCGTGTCTCGTACGCTGTCCTCTACCGTCTGATCCCTTCATCGTTGCCGTTCGGTGGACCTTCACCGTTGTCATAGAATTACGGCCCTGTCGTAAGTGTCGTTGATGGCAGACCTCTATTGAAGGTTGCCACTGTTGCACCTAGTCACAATTTTGCTTGCTGTGGTCCTCATGTTCCATCTGTGCATCCTCTATTGTTGATGGCAAATCTCTATCGAAGGCCTCCAGCAGAGAAGACGAGGGATCGACACCGACAGCAGTCAACATCGACATCGGGAGCGCATCCCACGGGCGTTCGTCCACATTGGATGCAATCGCCATCTCCCGAACGTGGTGACATACGCAACTTCTCCCAGAAGTACTCCGTCGCATCATCGCATTGCCTAAGATCCTCCCACGCCCCCCCCCTCCTCTTTTTCATCCACCACCTCGGCGTCGCTCGTGGAAGAACACTGCAACCCATGGGGCAACAAACCTTAACAACACCTTCGGTGATGGCCACGGTATCCCACCCTTCGACCGGGACTTGATGAAGCGTCTTCCTCCTCCGCAGGCGGATCTGTGCTCTCATTCTGCCCAATGCCCTCTCCTGCTGACATTGAAAGAGCACGACCGTCACGACCGTCTTCTCGATCGTCGTCAACTTCGCACGTCCGTCGTCGCTGCCGCCCTCCATCGGCACATGTGTTGCAATGCTCATGAAGCACAGAAATGCAGCAACCTACCAACTTGCGACGACCATGGTAAGCTCAGCGCCAAGTCGTCGACGACGTTCCCCGCATATACTCGACTCCACACATAGGCGCGGCGGCAGGAGGAGGTGATGGTGATGGACCTTCGCAGGGCACTCACAAATTCGTGACGACTTACGAGGACTCCACTACGCCGCTGCAAATGGTCATTTCCACCGTCACCAATATGGACGTCACCTGCCCCGCGTCACCGTTGTGACGTCGAGCACCCAATTTGAAATTTGATTTTCGAACGCGGAGGTCCATTGTTTTTTAAGGGTGTTTTTTTCCCGTAGCCAGCGCCTTTCAAATTTTTCCGCCTTTGGCAACTGGACCACCCCGTAGCAAGACAGACATCACCCAATGGACCAAGGCATTGCCTCCCCCGAGGCCGACTATAATATTATAAAAATGGTCATCGGGGGCCAAAAGGCATCATCCTTGGGAGACCACCCCAAGGATAGGTGGAACGAAGGTGGAAATTTCCTTCAAAGCCCCGAAGGAAACTTCCTTCAGCCCCGAGGACGCCCCAAGGAGTGTCTAACGAGCCCCTTATTCTTTGTGAGTG